TGTGCATGGCAAGGGCCTAACGCTCCAACTACTGCAACGCTTCTACATACTTCTAATCCGTAAAGACCCTGCATTTTCCACCTTGTCCAAGCCCTTCGCGATGGACATGTGTGTCTCAGGTTTCGGGTCTGGGTGTCCGGGCTTACGAATCCCATTTTTCATCCCAGAACCTTATACATAGTTTCGACCCGAAACTCCACATTCGCCACATACGCCCTCCGGCTCAACCTGCAAACCCGGAGCCAGGTGTGGCCGTGGGTCGAGGCTGCGGCACGCGCAGGCAGCACGGAGTGCGGCTCTGGTCCCGGGTTGTGCAGTGATGTTGGGGCGTTATAAGGGTGCTGAGGCATCATAGACAGGCTTTCACGATGTTCGGAGTGTTGTCGTTCATTTGGGGTTGATACGGGGTATTCCTTTTGGCGGCATGCACACCAGTTCCCCCTCGTTGCGCTTGGGCTCGTTGTTCTTCTCATAGTCGTTTATGCCTTATATTATGTACTTCGACCCCCTGCCGAGCTTTCTGCAGAGCTTGGCTCGCTCAGCTTCCATCATATCGCAGCGGAGAGTGTGTCGTGTCACAAGAGCCACTTATGGAATGAGGCATTGAGGTCCCGATGCCCGCAAAATTGAGAAGCAAGTGCTCCCCGCGGAGCTTGCATGAAGCTTTCCTATCCTGAACTTGGAAGTCCTGCTCCATCGATACACAGACGTATCTGCTAGCGAATGCTTCCAGCCCTAAGGCGGTAAGCGCAGCCCAGTCGGATACTTCTACACAGGCAGCGCCCTGGGCTGGGCGAGGAACATTGCGACAGGAACAGCTTGGGTTGAGGGTTTAGGATGACGAAAGAAGGAAGGCTCAGGATAGTTGGACAGTTGCATGTTTACGTGTGCATTTCATTTGGGGCCCTGCTCTAAACATCTTGCTGACTATGTCTGACATGTATGTGTCATGTGTCAGCGTTGCTCGACTTCGTTGCCGCCATGTCCATTGCTCCCCAGCCTAATTGCCTGCTATACTTCCGTAGCATGCCGCTCGATGGCCTAGTGCTCCTGCACGCTATTCAGGTGTCCGATCCGTCCCGCACAAGCTCAAAGCAATCTGCCCCATGCCAAGCACCTGCGGGGCCGTTTTCGGAGCTTACCGGCACCTTCGGCACCTCGACCTTCACAGAGGCGTGAAGGGGTTCGAAGCTTTCGCACGACTGCTACAGCTCAATGCTTCCCGAAGACCTGCACGAAAGTCGGTACGCTAGCCCTATCACCCTAGCAGAGATGCTGTGGAAGTTCATGTCACTGTCGTACACCGTGATCCCGTCAAGGTATTTGTCATTTGATAGCGCTTTATAATAATAAACGGTGCGATAACGTGTATCGGAAGTGCCGAAGTCAGCTGTGAGGAGTCAGTTTCTGAGGTCAGTGCAGGCTCCAGCTCTGGATCGGGAAGACTTGCAAGGGACCCAGAACCAGGTTTTCGGGGTTTGGGGTTTCGGGGACTATGGTGTTAGACATGTGCACACGCTTTACAACATCTTCACTATGCAGTTCGGCACCTGTGAAGTTGCGAATGATCTCTATGCAGGACGCTGAATATAGTGTTTCCACTGACTCATTCGTGGGCCCACATTCAAATCATTCCGGAGACTTTCTTGGAGCGTATACGTGAGCTGGGCAGCTGGGCAGTGCTTGGACGATCGTGCTTCTTAATTGCCTCTGTCGTTGTAACGGTCAGGCCAATTCGACTTTATGCTATATTGTAAATATGTTGCGTACGCACCAGCAGCCCCTGCATGCGTGTTTGTTTGACTGGCTGGCTGGCTGGCTGGCTGGTCTGGCCGTCTGTTCGTCCGTTCGCCCATCTCTATGTATGCATGTATGTATGTATGTATGTATGTATGTATGTATGTATGTATGTATGTATGCGTGTATGTATGTATGTATGTATGTATGTATGTATGTATGTATGTATGTATGTATGTCTGTATGTGTGTGT